ATTGTAAAAGGGTTACTATCATAAATATTTTATTATATGAAAATTTTATGTATTAAAGTTTTTCTATCTGTGATGGCAGAACCTAATTTGAAAACATAAGATAAAAAGAATTCCCAATGAAAAACTAAGATAGTATTGCTGAAATAGCAACAAACTTCAAAATTACGCAAATATTCATGAACTATCAAGTCCATGAAAAAATGTCTCAATTGGCTGTGTTCTTTACCAGTAAAAATAAATTATAAATATAATAGTAACTTTTTTGGATTTCTTGCTGATCTCGAGAAAGGTAGAAATTTTGAAGTCCTTGGAATATAATACAAACTAACTAGATTCAAATTATGAGTCCAAGGACTGACTTGTGCAATGCTTGTCAATGCTTTCAAAATGATTTATATTACAATGTTTGTAAGGAGAAAGAAATTGAAAGATTACCCAAAAATTTAATTAGAAAGAAATTATTATAAGGACAAGAACAAAGAAAAAAATATGATACTACTGTTTATTATAATATAGTTATGATGATCGAGTTCATGTTCCACATTCAGATCAACAAGTAAGTAAAATTTATTATCTTGGTTCATGTAAAGTTCATTTATTTGGCATTCAAGATGAAGCAATAAGAGAACAAATTAATTGTGTTCTTAATGAAAATGAAATTATAGGAAAAGGTCCTAATGACACTCTTAGCATGATTTTTGATGGAATTAAGAAATTGAATAAAAGTGAAAATCATTTAAAGATTACTTGTGATGCTGGTGGACAAAATAAAAATAACACCACTATTTGGTTTCATTTATATTTAGTAATTTGTGACTATTATTGAAGTATTGAATTGAATTTCATGATTACAGGACATACCAAATTTAAATATGATGGTAGTTTTGGTTTAATTAAGAAACTCTATCGAAAAACAAAAGTAGATTGTGTAGATTATGTGGTTGAAGTGGCAAAAAAGTCTAGTCCAGCAGGATTAAATAAATCTCAATGTTATGAAGGTGGAAAGGTTTTCAATACTTAGATATCAAATCTATTTTAGGAATTTATTTTAAAAAATTAAATGGCCTACAAAAATATCAACCTTTTCTTTTTGAAGCATTTAATCTTGGTACAGTGAAAGTTCAAGAAGTTGCTAATGGTTCTTTTGTTAAATTTTGATTTATTAAAAATTAGGAGAACAGATATTTTTGAAGAAAATTAGAGCTTTATCTATTTTAGTGTTAATGTCACCTCCTTTAGACCACAAAAGACAAAAATACTTTTATAATAATATTCTCCCATTTGTGGAAGATGAATACAAAGATATTGCTTGCCCCAAGCCAGCATAAAATGTAATTGAATAATTTTTATACTAAATAAAAAAGTGTTAGATGTCATAATTAACTTTTATTTTTCCTAACCTTATTTACCTTAATAACTGAAATAACTAGAAAAAAAGCAAGTGCTCCACAACCAACCATTCAGTAAGTTTCTTCTTGTTTGCTCTTTTTATTCCACTTTTGATAATAAGCCTCTCGATCTCTTATTTTTTCTGCAACTTTCTCATCTTCCATAGTGCCTAAAAATTGATTGTTTTTTGGGGTCTGAATTAGTGTTCCATGTCGCAATCCAAAAAAGGAAACAAGATGGTTGTAAAGGTGGTTGCAACCAGTGGTTGCAATCATTTTTATATGACGCAAAGATGGTAGCAACCATCATCAAAAGTTGCAGCCGGTATCCTTAGTCTGAATTGCCTTGATCATTTTTGCAATGTGAATCTAGGAAAAAATAATATTGAAAATTCAGAAGCAGGATAAATTTCACTATAACTTGAAGGAATTTCTGCCTCTTTTCTTCATAATTGTGTGGCTTTTCCCTTAAGTTCACATTTGATGGTAAAAACTACCAGCAAACGATGCAGATTTCATTTTTTGTATAGGTTCTTAGCAGACTTCTCCAATTTGATCTCAGGTTTCTTGGTCAACAGCATTAATATTGTTTGGTAAATGATTTTTAGTAGAAATGGTTATATTTCCTATTTCAATGTGTAAACTGGCAACAATTTTACTTTTTTTCTGCAACAACAGTATTATTATTTGTTAATTGGAAAAGTTTTTTTGCATCCTCAGCTACTTCTGGTGCATACATTTCAGATCTCAATAGTATAAAGCTTTATCTAATTCATTCATCAATCAATCATTTCATTTATTCATTCATTCACTCATTCTTCTTTTGGCTCATTCACACGCACCAGGAACAACTCTTGGATCACAAATCACTGACAAGGGGGAAAACTTTTTCCCAATACACTTTTGACTCCTACACTTCCATAACCTTATTTGTATTTAGAACCACCTGCATATAAAAATGAGGTGAGTTTTGGGTGCCAATTGGTGATATTGGTATACCAACTCTGTAACCTGCTGGATTATATGCCTTGTCAAGTTTATTTATAACATCCCTAAACACAAGCAAAATGTCTGATTATTCTTGCCTAGTTATTTCTTCAAAGATACCAGCATGGCATTTGGTACATATTGATACATGACCTTTAGAGTTTGCTCTTAAAACTACCCCAGCAGTAATGCTACCTCCTAAATAAGAAACTCGACTTTTAAGCATTCCTTTTTTATAAAGCCCCTCATGAGCTGGCTTGCAAGCCAAAAAACTTATTCAGCTTGCAAGCCTACTAAGTTATTTGGCTTGTGAGCTGGCACAAGCGAAGCCTTACATTTTTATTTAGTTCCATTTTGTCACACATATGGCAAAACTATTTCACCCCCTTCCAGCTGATTTTTTTTTTTTTGAGTATTTGTTGATCAAAAATTTGACCAATAAAAATTTATTACTATTTTTAGATTTTGATGTGCTCAAAAATTTTTATTAAAAAAATTCCGTTATATACAATATTAATATTAATATTAAATATATAAATTAATATTAATATACTAATAAAAAAAATTTTTTTAAATAAAATTTTACTTTTGTTAAATTTTAAAATTAATATGGAAAATTTATCTTTGAACTCAAGTTTAAGACCAGTATATAATTTTATAGAATTAGGCTTAGAAGATTATGAAGAAAATGAATTAGTTCTTGATACCATAGGTGATTTAATGACATTCTTTCAAGAAAATAATTGTCATTGTAAAACTACAAGAGCTACAAAAAATGATTTAAGAACCTGTTATGAAAAAGTAGGATTTAAGCAGTTTTTTGAAAGACATCTTCAACTACGTGCATTAGAAAAAGATGCACTTGAATCATTCATAAAAGCTCAATTGATGTCTTTTGAAACAACTAGTATTCAATCAGAAGGTAGACATAATTATAGATATAATTTTATGCATCATTTACCCTTATGTTACCCAGCATATATAAAATTATGTGGAATCACTGAATATATGCTTAAAACCTTGCAAGTTGATTTACAAATTAATGGATTATCAGAACTAAGGTTGCGGGAGAAACTCCTCCAGAAATCAATCGACAGAGTTTCGACAGGTTACACATTAATTGTTTATTAGAGTTTCGGCAGAGTTTCGCATTTGGGGTTTTTGCCAATCATCAGAGTTTCGACAGGTTACACATTAATTGTTCATTAGAGTTTCGACAGAGTTTCGACAGTCATTAAGAGGTTTCGCCCACAACCTTAATCAGAACGACTTCATAAAAATACTGGACGTATACCTAAAATCAAATCCAGTGCCCAAGTTGACTTAGAAGTTGGATCAATGGTTAAACAATACTTGTTACAATATGCAGATATATTTGGATTGCCATCACCAATGCGTCATTTTGATGATTCTGATGCTTTCATATATCTTCCAACAGGAAAAACATATGTTTCAGTATATAATGAATTTAAAATCCATTTTCATGCTGAACATGAAACTAAACAAATAATTTCTTACCAAACTTTTCGAAGATTATGGCAAGAATTGATCCCATATCTTAAATTTCAACCTCCAGCAAGTGATCTTTGTGATAAATGTGAAATGTTTAAAGCAGAAATGGCAGTTGCAAAATCTGATGTTGAAAATTATGAAAAAATAAAAAAAGAATATGAGGGACACCGTGAATGTGCAAATCATGAACGTATGCATTATAATAATAATATAGAAAAAAGTAAAACTGATTCATCATTCCTGCATATCTGTTATGATTGGGCTCAGAATGTTGGCATCCCATATTCTCCTCAACAAGTTGGATCAATTTATTTTAAAATACCATTTGCTGTAAATATTTTTGGTGTTTGTAAAACAGGAGAAAAAAATCATCAACTAAATTTTATAATTGCTGAAAATGAATTTCCTTGTGGGGTTTCTAAAGGTGCTAATACAACATTAAATATGGTGTTTAATTCTCTTAAAAAATTTTCCATAGATGGTGTAAAAAATTTACAAATTACTTGTGATAATTGTACTGCACAAAATAAGAACAACCTAACTCTTTGGTTTTGGTTGTGGTTGATAATGTCTGGTTGGTTTGATGAAATTATGGTTAATTTTATGATTCCTGGACATACCAAGTTTATCTGTGACTCATTTTTTGGTCAAATTAAAAAAGTGTATAGAAATCATCATGTAAACACTGTTGATGATATTGAACACATTGTTAATATTTCATCTGAAGGTAATGAAGCAATTAGATATGATAATGGATTGGGTTGGATATGGTATGATTTTAACACACTTTTAAAAGATCATTTTAACCCTTTACCTCAAATCAGACAATATTATCAATTTCGGTTTACAAAAAATGATATTGGAAAAGTTCATGTTTCAAAAGAATCAAATGGAGTTGAATATTCTTTTTCTCTTTTAAAAAATAATTTTAATCCACATGATCCTCTAGAGGTTTTTTCAGTATCACCACCATCAGAAGAAAGAAAAAAATATTTATATACAAAAATTCGTCAACATGTTGATGAACCATATAAGGATATTTATTGTTCAAATCCGAATCCAAATCTATAAAAATAATAAATTTTTTTTCTTTAATTTGAAGGTGTGCGCAAAATGGTGATCATTTCTAAATTCGTCTAAAGAAAATTTTAATATAAAAAAGAAAACCCCATTGTACAAGGTTTTATTAAGTTAACACCCTCTGAAACTTTAATCATTTATAATCCTTGTGTAATACATTGAATTGCATCAAAAATATCCATTTTGGTTTTGGGACCTCGAAGCTTGATTTTCCTAGTACAAACCCCAAATACAAACAATAACACTGGTGTGGCTGTTGTAATTGTTTCTTATAATGCTGATGAAATTCAATCTTTAAATTGCTTGCTAATTGAAAAAGTTAGAAACCCAGTTGTAAGAAAAGGCAAAGGTGCTCCATCAAGAAAAGAGAAAAGGAAAAGCTCTATTGAAACATCACAAAAATCACAGACTAAAAAATCAAAAGGTAGATATTGGGAGATGTAATCATAAATCAATTTAACTTGGAAAATAATGAAAAATTAGGAAATACAACAAATTTATATAAGACTTGTAATATTTAATTTTGATTACATTTAAATGATGATGAATATTAATCATTACCATATTGCATTAATGCTGAAATAGATCCTTTAATATTCAATTTAATGTTATTTAAACAATTTGATTGTTGATCATAAGAAAATTAATTAATACTCAATCGTTTTTTAAAGCCACATTTATAATATGGACTAGATGCAAGCGCGCTCTAAGAACTCTGTTTTTTTTGTTCAACACCATTCCGAGGAGCAAATCAGGTTGGCAATACAAAAAAGAAAAGACCAAGCATGGAGAAGGTTAGCCACGAAAAACAAGGTTGCCCAGACAGCTGGCTATAATTTGCCAACCCATAAAGAAAAGAGAAGCATTGAGGAGTTATTGAAAAAGCATGGAAAGTTTGCTTATTTGACCAGCAAACCTTTGGGTAGATATTACCTGTCTACTTTGGATTTAGATTTGCGAAAGGTTGAATTTCCAGAGAAGTTGGTGCAAAAAACCACCAAAATTGATTTTTTTGGATAATAATAAATTATAACAATACTCGTTGAAACAAGGTTTGAATTAGTAATTGAATATAAACAGATAATTGTGTCATAATGGAAATAGGTTTGGTGTTGAATGCCAATGAAGTGAAAAGAAAACCTTCCCCAGTTCTGCTGTTTTCATAACATAACCTTTATACATGCTGCCCAAATCCCAAACTACTTTGTACACACATAGCATTCTGTCTCCCAACCAATAAGTGCTTAAAGTAATCGACAACCCTTTGTTGCACTATATGCTTCTTTTATTAATGTTAATGGAAAAACTTAAAAATCAGGATGTTGGTTGTATTTCATACAAATACAGCTATTGAAAAAATTATTGCACAATGTTGTATATATAAATTTAGAACTATATTTTATAAGGTTTCGCAGATCACTAATTGAAATTTTCCGAAACCCATACTTCATTCCTAAAAAACTACTATTTGCAAATGTAATAAATAATAAGAAACCCAAAGCTTTAATATCAAATTTTCAAAGGACTTTCTTATAAAATATTTTATCTTTATATGGAGGGGCTGCTGGATTCTTGCCTAAAACTGCTATATAAAACTCAAGATTCAAATATAATATTTGATTATTCATTCAAGAAAAAAAAAAATAAATAGGCGTTTGTATTTAGTTTTATTCAAAAAAAAAGAAATATAAATAGATGTTTGGTTACTTTGAAAAGTTTAAATTTTAAATTTTTATGTCGCGTAATCATGCTTAATCACGTGAGGGACGGTCATATTCTAAAAATTCTAAAAAATTATATTGTTTATTATCGCCACAAAATTATGCAAAATTTTGCAGTTGTCTCACGGAGCACGAATTAATGTTAATTATGATGAAATAGATGGTGATAGAATTTTAGCAGTGTAAATCAAACATTAGCAAAATAATTTAATCAAGACAATTTTCTGATAATCTAATGAAGAATTGGAGAAGACCCAAACCTTTTATAATAAAATTATAATTGCTTATACTATTAGAAATTAGTGGTTTGCAAGTATAATTTTTATTAATGTTATTGTTATTTTGATTTAATTGGCTGAAATAAATAATGTTTAGTATGTACAACAAACAAAATTAAATTTTTTCTTTACAAAAAAATGTCAATAATAACTTTACCTCTTGAGCTTTTGAATTAAATATTTAAATACAATGAAGACAATTATAAAACATTGTATTCTTGCATCCTTGTTAATAAAGGCTGGCACAATATTAGTATTCCAATTTTATGGAGAAATCCATTTTATTCTCTTAACAGCACTAAAATAATAATCAATTGTTTATTGGAGGAAGAAGACAAGGATTTCTTAACTAGAAATGATATTCAGTTAATTTTTGACCGATTGGAGAAACAACCATTATATAATTATGCTAAATTTTGTTTTTCTGATAATCTAATGAAGAATTGGAGAAGACCCAAACCTTTTATAATAAAATTATAATTGCTTATACTATTAGAAATTAGTGGTTTGCAAGTATAATTTTTATTAATGTTATTGTTATTTTGATTTAATTGGCTGAAATAAATAATGTTTAGTATGTACAACAAACAAAATTAAATTTTTTCTTTACAAAAAAATGTCAATAATAACTTTACCTCTTGAGCTTTTGAATTAAATATTTAAATACAATGAAGACAATTATAAAACATTGTATTCTTGCATCCTTGTTAATAAAGGCTGGCACAATATTAGTATTCCAATTTTATGGAGAAATCCATTTTATTCTCTTAACAGCACTAAAATAATAATCAATTGTTTATTGGAGGAAGAAGACAAGGATTTCTTAACTAGAAATGATATTCAGTTAATTTTTGACCGATTGGAGAAACAACCATTATATAATTATGCTAAATTTTGTACTAGATTTTATTTTATTGATAATTATGAATTTTGTAAGTTGATAACTTCTGGATTAAATATTTTACAAAATAGATTAGTAAATTTTATTTTAGATCATTCAGCAATTATTAAAGATCTTAGCACTAATGATATAGATTGGTATTGGGTAAATAATTATCCTAGATTTGACGTTAGCTTTCAGAATCTCAATAAATTAGTTTGTACATTCACTCGTAGTAGAAATAAATTCATTTATAAATTAGCAAATATTTGCAAATCTATTCAGTCATTAGAAATATATTATAGTGGACACTACAATACATTTGAAGATAGTCTGGCTCAACTAATTAAAGCACAAAATCAAATAAAGAAATTATCCATTAATTTATACACTGGCAATCAAGCTTTATCAGATAATTTCAAAAATGCAATACTTTCACATTCACAATCAATAATTAGTTATTCAAGCAGTGAAGCACGTGATATAGATAATATATTATTACCAAATCTTAAAAATTTAAAGACTTTATCATTATTATCATTTGCTACTGGTATCAAAATAAAGTATTTGGAAAATACTTCACTGCCAAATCTTGAATCTGTAACATTATATATTTACCATAATCCATTTCTATCCAAATTGTCAGATTTTCTTAATAAAAATGGAAAAAAACTTAAATATTTGGATCTTGGTGGTATTCCAAATGACAGTGAATTTTTCAGAAAGTTATTTCAATCAATTGCAAAATGTAAAAATCTAATAGATTTATCAATATTTTATAAGGATGACTTAGACCAGGAGTTAATGGGAATATTCAATAATTGTATTAAATTAGAAAGTATTAAACTCAGAAAAGGTAATGAAATAGATGGTGATAGAATTTTAGCAGTTTTAAATCAAACATCAAAAAAAGTAAAATCAATAATTATTAATAATGAGATTTATAATATTATTAGTATTGACAATTCTTTTGATAATCTAATGGAGGATTGGAAAGGACTCAAACCTTGTACAATAAAGTTGCTTTTGATGAATTGATAAAAAAATGTCAAGATTTATATAGGATTTTTAAATTAAATTATATAACAAAATAAATAATTTTTCATTTTGGTGCAACAAACAAATTTAATTGACGAACTATATGTGAGTGAGTGAGTGAGTGAATTGTACCAATCTGATAACTTTGCTTTTGTTCTATTACATAATTTTTTTTATAATAATAGCGAAGGTAGCTTTTTGGCCAAGTTTCAAAATTCAAAAGTTGAATTTAATTGTCATTTTAAATAATGATTTGTTAATAATGTAAATGATACAATTTTTGCACTTAAAGATTAATATTTATTGTGTGACCGATCTTTAATATAAAATTTCCCCATTCATGGATGGATTATCAATTAATTTTTTTTCTTTACAAAAAAAATGTCAATAATAACTTTACCTCTTGAGCTTTTGAATGAAATATTTAAATACAATAAAGACAATTATAAAACATTGTATTCTTGCATTTTTGTCAATAAACAATGGCACAATATTAATATTCCAATTTTATGGAGAAATCCATGTTATTCTCTTAACAGCACTAAAATAATAATCAATTGTTTATTGGAAGAAGACAAGGATTTCTTAACTAGAAATGGTATTGAATTGACTTTTGACTTATTGGAGAAACCACCATTATATAATTATGCTCGATTTTGCACTAGACTTCACCTTAACAATGGTTATAGTTCTCAAATGTCAACAAAAGCTTTTAGTTTAATTTTACAAATTAGATTAGTGAATTTTATTTTAGATCATTCAACAGTTATTAAAGAACTTTGTGCTGAGAGTATAAATTGGAATTGGATAAAAAATTGTCATAGAATTGATGATTGTTTTCAGAATCTGAATGGATTAACTTGTAATCGTTCTATTAGAAGTGAATTCATTTATAAATTAGCAAATACTTGCAAATCTATTCAATCATTAGAAATATATTATATGGGACACTGCAATACATTTGAAGATAGTCTAACTCAACTAATTAAAGCACAAAACCAAATAAAGAAATTTACCATTTTTACAGACACTAGTCATGCTTTTACAGATAATTTCAAAAATGCAATACTCTCACATTCACAATCAATAATTTATTATTCAAGCAATGGTGCATATGATATAGATAATATATTATTACCAACTCTATACAATTTAAAAATTTTATCATTAGCATTATTATGTGCTACTAATATCAAAATGAAATATTTGAAAAATCTTTCACTGCCAAATCTTGAATCTATGACATTAAATATTTTCTATCAACCATTTCTATCAGACTTGTTTGATTCAATTAACATCAATGGAAAAAAACTTAAATATCTAAATCTCAGTGGTATTCCAGACGATCCTGAGGTTTCGGGAAAGCTATTTCAATCAATTGCACAATGTTGTAAAAATCTAGTAGATTTATCAATATTTTATAAAGATGGAATAAACCAGGAGTTAATGGAAATACTTAATAATTGTATTAAATTAGAAAGTATTGAATTTAAAGAATTTGGATCTATATCTCTGGAGACAATAGATGGTGATAAAATTTTAGCAGTTTTAAACCAAACATTACCAAAAAAATTAAAGTTGATAATTATTAATCATTGGATTTCTAATATTAGTGATGATTATCTTGATAACTTGATGAAGAATTGGAAAGGACCCAAACCTTTTACAATAAAATTTAGAAGATTTAGTGGTGCAAACAAATTGATAAAAAAATATCAAAATTTAGGATTTTTAAACTAAATTATATATTTATTATTATTTATTATTATATAATGCAGATTGTCTACAATCAAAAGTTGCTTATAATAGCTGTTGGATGTTTATTAAATTTATTTTCTTTCTTGATATTAATAATTAAAAACAAAATGATTGGACATATTTTATTATAATAGTAACTAATTTTGAAATTTCCTTTATATGTCACAAAATTTTATAAATTGATTTTTATAATCATACATTAGTAGGTGCTTTACAAGGATCAATTCCTTCGCCATATCAATAAAATGAAATCGTCATTTAACAAAGTCATGCAACTGAATTTTAGTGTAACAAAAAAGTGAATAAAAAAGGATTTTATTTGAGGCTTAAAATTATGTCGCAAAT